AGCTAAATCTATTGATCATACTTTACTGATCGTATGACATTCGAACTGATTTTGTTTTCTTCATCAAAAACCAACAATTGCATTTATCAACGACATTCACTAAATAAAGGATTTTTTCGACGAGTAGCGCGCAACTACTTCTGTATGCCATTGACAGTTGCCAATGCGGAGTTTTCAAATTGAATAAGACGTATTAAAATAAATGACAAAAGAGTGTTGGTATTTGATGAAGAAAACAAAATCAGTTCGAATGTCATACGATCAGTAAAGTATGATCAATAGATTTAGCTAAAAGGGTTGATAAGTGATATAGATGTGCAGACGTATCAATAATTTATCCAGAATAAATTACTGTATTATCGGAGAAAACTTCTATCAACATTGGATTAATAAAGTGATTCACATTTTCATTCAATTTCAAAATTCTCTACTATCCTTCGACTTTTAGTTTTTGATTTTTGAATAGTAAATATAATCTTGAATATTTATCTAAATCTAATAAATGCATATATTAAATGAAGTAATAAATACAATCATCCAAGGAGAAAAAAACTAAAAAGTTATATGATAATAAGCTTGAATAAATATACGAGATACAACGTACAAAGAAGAGAAAGAAAGTAATCATTCACTTTGACATTGTCATCATTCATATGTTGGTTTTGGTGTTGCTCGAAACTTTTAAACAATTTCATCAACCGTATGAGATCGAGCACAACAACAATATAAAATCAAACCTTAAACAAATAAAAGAAATAAAACGAGATACGAATAAAAGTATTTTCAACAACATACCACCAATAGGAAAAAAGATGATAATTAAAATCCAAATAGTTTTGAAACATAAACCACGACTACTCGATTTGAGCAATTCAAAAATAGCAATAAGATCAAGAATAAGAATGATCTACAGTTCATGAAAGAAAGGCAATTTTTATTATCTTCGAAAGTCAATCTTACTAAACCAAGAATACCACCCACACTTGATCCAATAACAATTCGATTATCTGCAGCATATGCACTTACAATGGACTCAATGAATGTAAGAATAATAACAATACAAATAGATGTACGCATCTTTTTTTTTTTCTATCTAAAAAAAGTCAAAATCTAAAATCAAACGTGCTTAATAAGAATGAATGCTTGATATGTGAGACTACGAAAGAAAAACGAGAAATATTCGTTATATATTTAGTAATCATTTCTTCATGCTCATCTTGCGAGACGATTTTTACTGGAGAAAGATACACAATATAATATCGATGGCATACGTGCTAGTGAAAAACAACGAATATGCACCGGAGAATATCTTGGCATTTTTTTCATGCATCGTCTTTAGATAATGTATAAAAGAAAGATATAAGTCACCATATGTTCGTGTATAAGTTGAAACAAATGAAAATACTACATGACTGAAGAAAGAAAATGTGGGTTAGTGGGTGACAGATGCTAGGATGGAGAAATAAAAATTGAAATGAAAAAAGACAAAAAAATGAAGCATTAATTTGCTTTGATTGTACTTTTTCATGTCTTTGTTTCACCATTCAGATTAGTCTCAAACACATAGCTATTAATAAAAGGATTAGTATTTTCTTGCAATCAGAATTTTTCTTACTGACAAAAGATAAAAGCTAAATTATCTAAGCATTTGCTGTATTCATTACACTGTGAATGTGCCTCAACTTTGAAAAATATCCAGACAAGATAAACTAGTGCACTATAGCTGTGTGATTTCACATAGTTTTTCTTTTTCTCTTTCATTATAGACATAAATAACAAACAAGCATAACTCATTTTACAAACATGAAGAACATACTATTCTTAATGACAATAATCATTTATTTTTATTTTTCTGCATTGTATTGTGAAGTATGTTCTGCCTGTTTCCATATGACATTCACAATTACACAAAGAGTATAGAAATATTTGACTTCTGCCATTTTTATCTATACCATTCGTTGGAAACTTACATCTAATTGATAAGCAATCTCATCTTTTCTTCCAATTACTTTGACGAATATCAAGATCAAGACAAAAGCCTCTTCTATCTTTAATATGGATTATAGTCAATGATTTTAGTCTTTCATGTTCAACTAAAGGACTCGAAATTGTACAATTTATACTTTCTGACAAAATGCTATCTATTCGATTGGCATTGATATTTATTAGCAATAGAAAGCACTTATAAAAATTATTCAATTATAAGTTCCTTGGTCTTTGACTTATGACTGGTTTATTCACTTGATAAATTTCATCAATTGACTTGAATTACTTTGTTTTTCTATTAATTAAAAACAATGATAAATGGTATAGTTATCGTCGTTTTATTATTTTTTCATTCTATGATATTAAACTGTTATATAATTTTAATGCTTACATTCACTGAACAATCATGTATTCTTGCTCAGCGTATTACTAAATATGCAAAACAACCAAATACAATGCATGATCTTTATCCATGTGTCTCTGTATATACACTTGACATTATTGCTGATTTGTTGAACACTTTCTTCGAAGATCTGTATAATATTTTTCTTTTATTATTCGATTCTATTCCAGAGATAGCAATGAACACATATCTAAAAGTTAAAGACAGTGATGAAAAAAGAAATTACTTTTCCGAGACAGCTGTTAGTCTAAATAAGATAAAATCTGATTGAATTCAAGCTTTTTACTTAGATTTGTTGAAATAATGGGTGCACGTTCAAGATGTCCGTGAAGGTGACTTACATTTATTTTTGCCCGACTATCAATCGGATGTGAACAGAGAAAAGCACTTGAAGTTCTTCATGGATTTTCACGACAAGTAGTTCGTCTTCTTTGAATAACCATTGACACTTTTGTCGTGCTTAATCAAAGTTATTGAAGAACTTACCACTACATCCAATGTCGAAAAAATGAAAAATAATAATGGAACGAAGAGTAAGAGCGGTTTTATATTTCTCGAGCTTCTTCTTACTCAACTGCATGCTGAAAATCTATCATCAGATGATATTCAAAAAGTTGATACATTGATTTTTGGAAAGCCACGATAAAACTACAGTGACTATAAAACTCTAGTATTTTATGAGATGTCATCCAGATGTTCAAGCCAAGCTACATGCTGACACGAATTCTATATTTGAAGGTGTTCGTGTGGTGGGTATCTTCTTGCCACTCACCCACCCCCAAATTTGATAATCTAAATTATGAAATAATTTATCTGACTTAGAACTGTTACAATAATATTTACATGAATGATCTGGAAAAGAATACTATAATTCGTTAACATACATCAGAAGGAGTTACAGAAATTAAAACACGGACCAATCGTTAGGATTATCAATTGCCTAGATTAAAAGCGATTCAGAATATCCTCATGTAATCTTCTTCCAGCAGAGAAATGTTTATTGTGTAGAAACTAGAATTTTTGCGTCGAAAACAAAATTACAAACTCAACTGAATTTGAAACTGACATAGAATCGAATGTTTTTAAAATTCAAGAGTATTTTAATTCGGCTTGTATTTCATTGTTCAGTATTTTATTGTCAATGTTCAGTACATTTTTATCATATGTTCAGTAGTTTTTGTCCAGTAAAAAATTACTTTTTGTTCAGTAAATAATTCAAGAAGTTCAGTAATTAACTTAAAAATATTCAGTATTTAATTCATTTTTGTTCAGTATCTAATTTATTTTTGCTCAGTTTTTAATCATGTATTTCAGTAAAAAAAATGTAATTATAATTGAGAGAAGTTTATTGAATCGGTAACAGTTTTTTGAATTTTGCTGAGAGTGTCGGTGTGGAGTAGAGTCAACCAGGTCCTACCCGGAGCCGGACTCCACTGGGTCCGGGTCTGCAAATTTTACTAATAGAAGGTAGATTGACAGAAAGATTTGATCCACATAATAATATTTTATGAGTTTTTTGAATTTTCGTTCGTTTTAAGCAAACAAATCTTCAGCTTCTTTATAAAAATTAGAAGATTCAGTTGCTCGATTAGAAAAACTCATTGAAAGTTTTAAGAGTACCCTTAAATTCTGTCTCACGAAAAATTCTTCAGTAGGGTTCGATGTGAAAAATTCTGATCGATCGGGTTCGGGTAGGGTCCAACAAATTTTAATCACCTGGGTTCGGGTTCAGATATCCTTGGACTCGATGGGCTCTAATGTTTGGTGTGGGTACTATAAAAGAAAACCTTCACCCAAACCCACATCTTCAACAGTTTCACTTGTATCCATCTCGTCGTCAAAAACATTAGTTGGCATATCAACAGTTTCCACCACCGTTGCGAGTTTTAAACCAAATTAGTAATAATAGTTTGGGAAATTAAAATTCAACTTATTTAAAAAAACGAGCTATTTATATAAGGATAGACAAAAGAGAAAAAAGGGAACGACGCCGAGAATCGTCTTCTCCATTGTTTAATGAAGAACAAGAGAAGAATGCAATATATTCATCTTTGTATATGACTAGGCCTGTAACAGTTCTTGAGCGGAGAACGAGAACTGATA